CTCACGGCTTGCCGCTCAGGCCTCGCTGCTCTTCCCCCCCCGGCTCCGAAGCGAGGGCCTCGCGGCTTGCCGCTCGGGCCTTGCTGCTCTCTCCCCCCCCCAGGCGGCGGCGAGGGAGTTTGCAGAGCGTTCCCTGCGCATGCGCGGGGGACGCTCTGTCACTTTTGGGGGGATTTAAGTATCCCCCCGATATTTTTTTTGGGGGGGGTTAGTTTTTGTGCACACCTGGGGACTGCCCCAAGTGTGCACGAAAATCTTCCTCCCCCCCAGGTGCCCCCGATGTGCGGATTTAGGTATCCGCTCACAGGGGGCGCCTTTCGCTATTAGATATATAGATTAGAAAGACAGTTAAAAACATACATAAGGGCCCAATGAAAGCCTTGTAAAAAAGTATAGCCTAAACACAAGGGCCAATACACATGACCTGACGCATTTCTGCCCTATTGGGGCCTTCTTCAGAGGTCAAACAATACTGAGGTACACATAACTTAAATACATATTTCAATAAGATAACCAATAAGTGAATATTGGACCAGGAAGAGGAAGGTTAAGCAGCAAGATCTAGAGACACAGTCCAGACAACGTTGAGGTGGCAGTCTATGGTCAGATGGATAGCCCTGAGCTCCAGATGGTTTATACTTGGGAGGATGTCCATGTGCCCTTGACAAGGCCTAGAGGACAGCAGGCTCCCCAGTTGGACAGGCGGCATTTGTTGTGCATTATTAGTCTGGAGAAACTTGGATCTGCTTTCTTAGGAAGTAGTATGACTTTATTGTACATTATTTCAAGCCCCTTAAAAGGTGCTGGTTTCAAGCCCTCTGTTCTGAAGTTCCACCAGCACCACCATTAATTTCATAAACACTCAGAGCTAAGGCAAGTCAGAATAACATTGCCTTGAATTGGAAATAAAGGTTTTCCCAACTGAATCTCAGAGAACACCTGTGGGCTGGCAACATGGGGGCAAAGATATACTTCTGTAAGATCTAAGGATGTGAATGAGTCCCCTGGGAAAACCGTATCTTCAGCAGTCCTAAGGATCTCTGTATTGAGTTTTCTGTACCTTGCATACTTGTTGAGGAACTTGAGATCCATAATGGCCCTCCAATCCCATTTTGCCACCATGAAAAAGACTGGGCATGTTAGATGTGATGGAACTGGTTCAAGTGCTCCAATCTGCTGCAGGTGATCTATGGAATCCATGGTTAACTGCAGCTTTTTTGGGGCCCTAGGGATGTGTGAATTCAGGAATCTGTCCTGTGAAGTAGAGATGAATTCAACTGAGTATCCGTGGGAGATAATCTCTGGAGCAGTGTTCCCTCTAAGCTGAGTTAGTGTGAGCTAGCTCACAGTTTTTTAGCCTCTGGCTCACACATTTTTGTCTTAGCTCAGGAGGATGGCTCCTGAGCTAATTTATGTAGTGGCCAAATCGCTCGCTCACAACATTAATGCCAGTAGCTCACAAAGTAGAATTTCTGCTCATAAGACTCTGCAGCTTAGAGGGAACATTGCTTTGGAGCCCATCTTTCAGATGTGGAAACATTTCAAGCATGGGTGAAGAATTATAGCTTTCTCCCACTAGCCACTGTCTGGCATCAGTTGGTCTATGGATGCTTGTTTGACTTTCCTAGGGCAGGGCTTTGACTGGCAGAATGGGCATGATTTAGAAGGTCTATATCCTTATCTGGATCTAGACCAAGAGGATTTTTGGTAGTCATTACAAAATCCAGGTAACGACTAGTACGATTGAAAGGACTTGGAGCCACATTGCTTGGATTTCTGGTCCTTTCTCTTACCTGAGAAGGTCATGGCCTTCTTCTTGTCCTTTGTCTCCACTAGGATTCTACTGAGGTTCCTACCAAATGTTTACTTCCTAGAAACAGCCAAGTAACCAAATTAGCCTTGATAGACATTGGTGGTCCAAGCGTTGGGCCACAGGTGTCTGTGGGCTGCGACTGCAGAGGCCACAGCCATGGCTTCAGCTGGAAACTTCATAGGCTGGCATTTGAAATAAAGTATACTCTAGACTATGGAAGTAAGCTGACAAGTCATTACTTAGCTTTGGATATTCCCTGAGCAATTTTCTTAACCAAAGGACAGAGGCCCTGGCTATGAGGAAAGTGACCACTTGAAGCCTTTACAGATAAAGCCATTGCTTTGCAAGAGCTATGGAGTGTGGAATTGCTTTTGTGATCAGTGGAATCATTTAAAGAACCCTCCTTGGGCAAGCCCAGGCCAGAAGCCAGGCTTGCCACTGGGGCATCCACTGTGGGGACTTGGAGGAGCCCACTGTCATTAGGAGAGAGAGACTATAACCTTCTGGAATGGTTTATATGGAGCTTCTGGGTGAGTGAAAAACAAGGGAAAGCAACA